AGTGAATAAACAGCATGTTGATTTAATAGAAATTTCATATTGAATCACAGATGGAGGTTCACCGACTAATGTACTCGAAGCCACCTATGAATGCCGCACGAGTAGCTCAATAATCTGTAGAGATAGCGATTGTGCCAAGTGAATTTTATCGTGGAGGGAATCTGGTTTCCATAGCCACAAATTCGTTACGCTTGGCAGGAGAAGTTCCAATGAAACCTACTAAATCACCTGTGCACGTACTGCATGGCTCCAAGATGAAGGATTACAGGGTCGCAGCATTAACTGCTTACAATCTAGAAGACTAGCAGTGAATGGTGAGAGGGAAAAATTTAGGCCAAATCAAGCGTGAGGATTAAAGAATGGCTTTAATGATAAACGCTGGATTACTCCTGAGATCACCAATTCTTCAATCACTTGTCCAAGTCGTTACATGGGAGTATGCCATGAACCTCCGAACGCTTCGATAATGTTCCTGTCAGATTAGATACAGTGCGTTTCATAATCATAAGGTCACCCTCAAATTTTGCACTTTCAGAAAAAGCAATCATTAGGGATTTTTTCTAGCATCATGAACGGATTCCCCAGCACGAATAACCCAGGTTTCCGTTTTTTAGTTGCAGCTGCATTTTTCTGAACTTTTTTAGAAACAGTTTATCGGTTTTTGCACCGTTTCATAATTATAAGGTCATTCTGAGAAAGTGAACAATTATTCATGGGAGAGAGGAAATTTAGTGTTTAAAGATGCTTATAAAGCATGTGTAGCAAATGCATTTCTAAACCTGGCCGTTAACATGGCTCGTCGTCATCTGCTTTCCTCTGATGAGAAGGCTCACCATGAAGGTGGGCTCAGTACTCGAGTCATCTCCAGGCAAATAGGGAGATCCCCTTGGTCCATTCAAAGATTTCTAGAGAGCCCTGATGTCCCTAGATATAACGCCGACTGTGGACACCCATGAAAGGTTACTGCCCGTGACGAGCGGAAGATTTTGAGGCCTGTTTCCAACAGTACGCCCTCCTCGAACCAGATCCGATCAGAATTAAACCTCTCTGTGTCGAAAACTACAGTCTGGAGAGCAGTGAGAAGACGCGAGAACATCACCAGGCAAGCAATGGAGAAGGTGCCACGAATCGTCGATCGCCACAGAGAGGCTCGATTCGGATTTGCAAAGATGAACCTAGGGAGGGATTGGGCAAAGGTGGATCTGCATCCAAATCTCACCAAAGGGCTGAATAATTCCTATTCAGGTCGTCTTTTCGGATGAAAAGAAATCAATCTAGATGGTCCTAACGGAAACAAGCGGTACTGACGCGACTTGAGAAAGGAACCAGTCTACTTCAGCCGTCGCAGTTTCGGTGGAGGAAGTCTATGGTGTGGGGTGCATACTGCAATGATGTCGTGTTGGATCTACCTGTCGTGAGCTGAAGTATGGATTTCAATGATTACTAGAACGTGTTGAAGCATCATCTAGTACCCTTTCTATGCCATCGCCGTCACCTCAACTATGTCTTTCAACAAGGCAACGCCTTCATTCATGTGAGCCGTGCAGCGGATGAGTGGCTACAATGCCAATAAATAAGCGTCCTGCCATGGCCAGCCTGCAGTCCCGATCTCAATCCGATGAAACATATCTGGGGTATAATAGTCAGACAGGTTTATGCGAATAACCGTCAGTTCCACGGCACAGAAGAGCTGAAACGGACAGTTGTCAAAGCATATAGGGCAATTGATAAGGAACATCTTCGGAACCTAGTTTCTATTATGCCACGCAGACTCTTTGATGCTGCTCTTAAACAAGGAGGAGCTAAAGAATATTAAGTGTTGTGCATATGCCACCGACGTTAATAAATCATTTACTTTCTCAGGGTGACCTTATAATTATGAACGGTGCAGAAGCCGACACTATCTTCAAAAAATTCATAAAAAATTTGAGGTTAAGGATATTGCGACCAAAATTTGAAAAAGGAGGCACACTGGATGAGGAATCTTCCTGTGTTTGCCAAAAAATTCCATTTCGGCTGCTTTCTCCAGAATCGCAAAAATCGAGGGTGACCTTATAATTATGAAACGCACTGTATGGCGAAAAAAGTACACATACCTGCCTTGCAGACATCTTTCACTAAAACCGCTTCGCACCTATGTACAAAAGCCTGACCATGACCCCGCAGACGTGATTACAGACGACATTTCACAGGGTATCCCAAAACTATTGGTGCTGATTCACTGCTGTGTATTTGAAGCTTCTAAGCTGAGAATAACAATCGGATCTATATACACATTTGCTTACATTATGTGCAACACCAAGCTAAAATCACCACTAAAAACGCTCCCCATAAGCACGGATGGAGGCCCAAAGTATCTATGTTCTCAAACTCCTCGCATGCTGCATGCAGGTATCCCTCTTCTAGTACTTCCAAGTTAATTGTGTTTAGCGCTTTGAAGGAATCCAAACTGTGATGGCAAACCACAGGAGTCTTCTAATCAGGGACCAAATGGTGATGTAATGTGGATTAAAATATAGTGAATGGCCATTCCTCGGTGCTAGTAAAATCGGGCAGCGTGCGCCGGTACCACTCTTAGACAAGCTTAGCTCTGTGGGCTGAAGTAACGTTCTGCTGGGAGAACACGAGCTGTTTTAGGAAGCGGAGCCGCATGACTTCTGTCTGATGAAATGACGTAGGGATGCGTATTTCCACTTTAGTGAGACAGCAATCTTCAGAATTTTTTCGTCCTACAATGTAACCGGAGATGAAGTGGCATAAATACATAAGATAGGAATAGCAACGAAGCTTCTGCTACACAGCTCGCCCCATCCAAAAATCCGGTAAGTCTTGCTCCGGTACCACTTTTTTGATGGGTCAGCCACGCAACGATCAATTCGCATGCGAACAATTTCATTCCCTTGCATGAGTCCGGACCATCTTGAAGATGTACGGAGACTTACTTTGATAACTATGCAGATTGTGAGAAAACGAGCTTTTCTTCAGATGAAGTTTCTAAATTTCGGCGCCCATAATTTGGAACACCGTGTACATTAAAAGACATTTGCCAGTACCTGCACAAATGGAAGTTGAACTCTAGAGCGTAGGACTTTCAGAGCGCGACTGATAAGGATTATTTTTTCCTATAAGATTTACGTATGAGCTCTTAGACTGCTCATTTACACAGCACTCACAGAACAATCTGATGCATTTCAAGAAAAATTCTTGTCTTACAGGTCACGTTACTGCTCTGCCATCTATCATCTGAGGAGAAACCTACGGTTCTAGAAGAGAACCTTTTTTGCGATTTTGGCCACAATCCGGAAAAAACCATTCACGACTGCAGCCTTTACTTCAAAGAGATCTCAATTCCAATTTTGATACGAGCTGATTCCCCATACAGCCCCTGCTTTCTTAATTTTCCTCAACCCACCAACGAATAGGGAGGTGAACGTATAATCCTTACTGTTATATGGGGAACTCTCCTTTTTAGGTCCCTGACAAGGATCTCAGGGATCTCGAAAGGAGAGAAGTAGGGCAAAACAATGAAATAGAGAATATAAGACTAAGTAAACTAAGAGCAAATTTCCCTTTAAAAAAGGGAACACAGCAATCGGGAACGCTAACAAGGAAGGTCTTTCAGGGCGTGGGATGCTTTTTGAAGATGGTTTTTTGCTTGGTGAAGGGCATGAGCACATGAGCGCTATGGTCCATTTCCGCTAAATGGCATTCTGAATGCCAAAAAGGAGCGAAAATGACTTGTCAGAAATTGCTGTTTCAACCCACTAAGCGTCGTTTGTTTAATCCATGGCGTCGACTTTCCGCACAGTTGAAGACGCCAGTGGACTGCGCATTGAAAATAACGTGAACGGTAGCCAAAAAAGAAAGCCACATTTTGAGACATGTTGGAAAGTGCGGGGAAGTTTCATATAAGCTGCTCACGCTTGAGCTGCCGGCACCGGCGGATGGTGTGGTGGATAGCGATGTGGACTTCGAGCTGGGACGGCTAGACTGGGTTGATGGTTCGGACCCACGGGCTGCTGCCGTTTCTGCATTTTATGCTGCCACCTCCGACTGGCTCCATATTGCACCAGGACCAAAGCAAGCGCCTGATTGGTCGTGGCCGTGACCAGAACCAGCGATAACCTCTACAAGTTGAAATTTGTGAGAGCATTTTTTGTGAGAGCTGTTGCATGTCAATTTCGGCACACGGTGAAGAGGCGCTCATTTGCTGCCCTATCAGTGGGGAAAGACCCGTTCTAGTTGCCGTCTAGTATATACTATCCATTGGATTCACTGATCTTGGATCCTGTTGAGCATCAAAGGCATAGCTCGAGACCTTTCATGGAGTTATAGGGCGAAACTGTTGATGCAGAATAGTTCATCGCTCGCAGGAAATGAAAACCAAAGCAATCCCGAACTTACAGCCTTTTTTGGACTAATAATCGATGGGCGGGCTCTTGATGACGAAAGGGACACTTGGACGAGGATTCAGTGCAAGTTCGTTAGGTATTTATCAACGGTACCAGCTGACAGCACTTACAACAAAGGTATTTCATTTTGAACAATATCAGCCTACACAAAGCCGCTCAACACGTCCCTCCTTGAAAATACTGTTCGGCATTCGACGCTAGGATAGTTTCCTACCACCTATTGCGTTCTTGCTGAGGCTTTTCTCACCGTCAGTGACCCATGTGGCTTCTCGAAGGCCCTAGATTCCTATCATTAAGAATTATTCTTCATGATATACGCATCAAAATACCTTCGAATAACCTCAAAAATCCAATTCGTTGGCGTTAGATAATCCCATAACATTATGTCAAGGACGTTGAATACTTCCACCCCAGTCTTCGTTGTCTAGGGCTTATCTCCATTCAATGAAAATCGACGAAGCTTCTTCGGAATGATCGGCTAGTCTCGTGGAAGTAATGATATTCGAGAGGGGTTCATTGATATGATCCTTGAACCCAAAATCAAGCAACACTCAAAACTAAAGCGGCACTTATAAAGCGATGGAATTCTCAAGATTCCGTGAAGAATACACCTTCAGAAGCTTTTCCACCCCAGGCGATCTTATCTGGCTGACAGGAATGAGTAGAGCTAGAAACATCAAGAAGTCAAAAAGTGACCAAAGAAACCCTTTGGATGGAAAACAAAGGGAAGGAATGAAGGAACTGGAAGTTACAAACCTCGCCTTCAGCGTTTGAATAATAAGCTCTGGAGGACGGTTCTCGCACATGTGTTCTGATAACGCTCTTGACGCTACCCTCATAGGTAGCGGTCGCAGTAGCTCAATCTGTCTCGAATTGGTTAGAATGGTTTCTTAATTGTAGTGATTGAGAAAGCGACCTGATATAGTCGCAGATTAGTAAACAAACAAAGTTATGGAGCTTCTAGGGGTAAGCGATCTCTGCCCGATTGCCGAAGGAAACTGAGGAAATATAGCATGACTGGTCGATCGCTTATTTTTGTTAGCAATCGGTCCTACTCAGTGGCTCCTTCATTTTTATGTCTTCTCCATTATTACTACTAACGAGGCTCGCCGATATACGAATGAGTGGCAATTGAACAAATAGACCCTAGAGGTGTTTCATGAATTGTGGTGAGGTTGAATTGAACATCAGATCTGTGCCTGAAAAAAATTGAATCAACGGTTTTCGCATTGATCAATTCTGTCTGAACGATGCGCCCCTGCATTCCACTTCCATTCAGAATCGTAGTGGCGTGAAGTACGGCCTATACATGACTTGCGGTGGCCAATCGATGTACAGGTCAATACTTTTATCCTCCCATAGTCTGGTTCCAATGACTCCGGAGTAATGGAAGGCTTGAATGGCCTAATCGTAAGCGGATATTGATTCGGGATTCGAACTTATGTGAAGTGCGCCACTTGCCACTACACCACCTCTGCCTGCATCTTTCTTGCTGAAAATGAAGCAAGCTCTCACCAATGGTTTCACTTGATCCAAGATCATTAGTGGGACTAACAAGTTTATTACGCGCTTCCATCTATCTCCCCTAGCAGCCAGAAATGAACGGAGAAAGGAAAATACTCTCACAAAACTCAATTTGTAGAGGTTATCGCTAGTCCTAGTCCCGACCATGACCAGTCAGGCACTTGCTTTGGCCCTGGGTGCAATATTAGCCAATCTGAAGGTGGCTGCATAAAATGCAAAAACGACAACACCCCGAGAGTCCAAACCATCAACCCAGCCTAGTCGCCCCAACTCGAAGTCCACATCGCTATCCACCACATCATCCGTCGCTGCCAGCAGCTCAACCGTGGACAGCTCCTATAAAATTTTCCCGCACTTTTCAACATGTCATCCCTTTTTTGGCTTACGCTCACGTTATTTTCAATGTCGCCTCCACTGGCCCCTTCTACTGTGCGGACAGTCGACGCCATGACTGAAACGAACGACGCTTGTTGGGTTTCTGGCAAAATCTTTTCCACCCCTTTTTTGGCATTCAGAAGGCCATTTAGCGGAAATGGACCATAGTTCTGTACTCAGTGCATACCCCTATACCATACAGGAAACCAAAGCGTTCCACGCCTTGAAAGACCTTCTTCCTTGTAAGACAACAACAGCTTACTTATAACCTACTCGCGTCTTTTTGCTGCGCTTTAGAAATTTCAAAGCATTATACACCATTTGACGTCCATGTACTGTATCGAGGTCCACAGCTATCCATAGTGTAAGGGGCTAAAAGTAAGTAATTAAGGGGAAGGGCATTACTTCTATTGAACAAGTTCACTCAGAAAGAAATCACCATTGTGTTATCCACATCTGTTTTTTTTATATATCTCATTCTTTTCGTTATGCACTGCGTTTTTTCCGATTCCTCAAGTCTAATAAAATCAGAGAGTGATGATCCAATTTCGCACTCTGGAACACCTTTGCTCAGGATCGAATGGTGTGAGCAACAAGTACAAAGTAGATTACAAACCAAAAACGTTAGTAAAATCGAGTATATTTTTTTGTGATATGGTCCTAAGTATATGCTTATTATATCGAGGTACAACATCCTTTTGCTCCATGATCCAATTTTCCACATTCAGCCGGTCATGAAGTTTGCCTGCACACAATTGCACATAATACATAATTGCACACTGACAAAAGCTAGTCTGAAAAAAGTGTATACCTTGCATGACGGCTTCCTGAAGTTCATGAGTGATGCGCATCACCTCTAGCATTAAATTTTCTTCAAACTTTTCAACAATAATCTAGAATTTCGACTATTTGCTCCAATCAAATGAATGAAATGGATGCAGCTTTTCTCATAATCCCGAACGGAAACTTACACCGCTATCGTCAAGAACATATCCATTGAGAAGAACCTTTGGTGCGTCACCCAAGGCTGACTGTTCCAGAAAGTCTCTACCATTCTGAAAGTAGAAGAGCTGAGATGAAAACGGGTACACGCGCTGATGTTTAAACTCCCACCGTTCTCCCTTCATCGTAAGAAGAATGTGGTCCAAACACATCTTGGTAGTCGACATCCACATAATTTGCCTCGAACCAATTTTTGATATAAAATGGATCGATGGTGTCGTGCGTACGATAAGGTTCTATCACCTACAAATTTTACTATAAACATCTTCTATGCGAATTCGTTACTAAGAAATGGGCGTAATTAACAAGAAATTAACAGGAAAAACTTTGACAGCCGTGATAAAAACTCTCAGCCGCAGCGCCCTGCTGAAGCTGGGCTTTACTCCTTTTCTGACTTGCCGTCCAGGTCCCTCCCACATCGAACGCTCCGGTACATGAGTATAGGAATATAAATTTCTGATCGAACTTATAAACATAAGCACACTTAGTGAGCGCCTTGCCCGTCATGAGCGATATTCTGTTCAAATAATGTGTGTGTTGGATAACTTGGTTTATTCCACTGAACTTTCATCTTCAATCGTGTCACCTGCCACAAGAACTCCCGTACGCCGTCTGTACCCCTATAAACACGAACTTCAACGCTCCTGGTCCAAATTAATAGTTTATGGCAAGCCTCGCCCCTGTGGCTGGGATTTAGTCGGCAGCATTGCCATGTTGCCGGTAAGGCCTATCGAATCCGAACGATCTAGGTCCAACCTAACAATTATCTCGCACGCATTGCCCCCTTCAGGAAGGGTCCAGTTCTGCCACCTACCTACAGTTTATCCATCCTGCCGCTTGTACTGCTACCGAATTGAACGCTCTCGATCCATGGGAGCCGGAGTTATGGTTTTTTCCAGTTACAACTGTTCACAACGACACACATACCAACACATACACACACCTACACACAGTCCTAACATCACTCCTTACACTTTCTTCTCGAAAAAAAGCAGTGAGTCGCAGCCCATATGGAAAAGTACAAATCGAAACTGGTCAGAATCGGTAGCTATTATCGATCGTTACATTTACCACTATAATAACCCCCCACATCTCTTCAACTTCCTCTGGGTTGAAGCACTGTACAACTAGATGAAACAAAGTTGCGATTGAGCGGTCAATTACACAATAGATTGATACAGCATTCCTCACTTCCCACTTGCCCTACTCTAAGGATTTCAGTCCTGCAGTCCCATCAGTACTCCCAGCCTACCGTCTGCATATCTACCAAATTCGAAAGCCCCAGGTCCCCAGGTCAAAATCCTACTATATATAACGCGCTAATATGTGTGTGCGTGAGTGTGTGTCCGACCGGAAATTCACAATTCTCAGAATGTTCAAATTTGCTAGGAGTACTGGGGCAGAATGGGTACATTTATGTAGCAGGACCGGGCCCCGCCCACAGGGGCGGGGTTTGTAAGAAATAAATGTTCGAGCGGAAAATCACAGATGCTGTCCCAGTGGACTTAAAAATTCGAATTTGGTAGGAGTGCAGGCGACAGGATGGGAAGACTTATTGTAGGTGGCAGGACCGGACTCCTCCCATAAGGAGCGGGGTTTTACGAGATAAATGTTCGAGCGGAAAATCGTAGCTGCTGTCCCCGTGGACATAGATCGTTCAAATACGCAAGGATTATAGTAAACAGGATGGGAACACTTATGGTGAGTGGGGGGACTGGACCCCAATCACAGGAGGCAGGGTTTGTGCGAAAACTGAGAATTTAGCTCTAGAGCGTTCTAGCTCGGCAGGTTACAGACGGCAGGATGTAAATACCTATGGTGTGTGGTGTGGCAGGACCAGATTCCGCCCACAAGGGGCGGGGTTCCCCACAGGAGTAGAGGAGGCAGGATGGGGAAACTGAGGAAGAGGCTTTAGAAAATAGGATCCACACACCAATCAAGTCTAACGCCTTTGTTATTTACGATCTAGCTTTGACTATTTAATATGTTCCATCCGACGAGAAGGGAAAGTGCAGTGATAGGGACCGACTACGAGTACCAATTTCTAAATGGTTGGAAATTGGTTCATTTCTTGTTATTAGGTTACGACCGTTATCCAAGAAAGTTTGCGAATCAATGAAGAATCACTGTTTCTCTTCGCTTCGATACCATTCTTGGCAAAACTTATCCGACCACAAATAGCTTTGGATTCTCATTTAATGGTATATCCGAGTAGAAAGGAAGCTTTATTGATAAAGACATTTGACAATGGTAAAAGCTCAACAACATTTGCAGGTACCATTCAGGGTTTGGTTGCCTACCAGTTGAACCTTCGAAGGGTCATTATTTTAAGATAAACAGCAACAGATTGAAACTCCTAATAACTTAACTTCTAGCACCGGCTCATTCCAAATACATCTTGCATGCCCTCTTAGTCGTCTGTAGAATTTCATGTTCCTAAGTATCGCATTAGGCCCCCAAATGCGGAGGGGTCGATTTGCCGATTACAATCCCATCATAAGAAGAAGGGAAGCCCGCCGTTAGCCGGGCGGCCCAACTAGTTAACTATAAGTGCGCACGCTCTCCTTCCACTGGGCGGTGCCTCCTTCTATCAACTGCCACTGGTTTTCCAACCATGCCACCTACTTTTCTACTAAATTTGAACGCCTCCGCCCAAATTGCAAATTTTCGCGCACGTCCCGCCCCAGGTGAGCGGATTCTACACCTGCAACGTGCCATTAGTTTTCCTATCTTGCCGCCTGCATCCCCACCAAATTTGTACGCTCCAGGTTCAACTATTTTGGCGCAACCCCGCCCCCAGTGGACGAAGTCTACATCTGTCACGTCTGCCATTAGTGTCCCCATCTTACGCCTGTACCCTTTCAAGTTCGAACACTCGAGTCTAAGAAGAACAGGAGTTTTAGATTTCTGAAGAACAACACTTTTTGCGCACGCCTCGCCTTAGTGGGCGGAACCCAGCATGGGTCAAGCGTCCTCATGTAGCTCGGATCATCCCCCACTTGTTCTAGCCGGATTAGCTCTTCCAGTTCGATTTCCAAAGGGCGCCATATAAAATGGCTACAAGCATACAAACAGACAAACAGACCACAAACAGACGAACATTCGTGGTTTATATATAGAAAGGATAAAGGGACAGCCGATTACGTTAAAGGACTTTCTATAAAATCTAACCACTTTCCTCCGTGTGTTAAAACAATTCAGAACAGAGGTTTTCATTATCGAATTTAGCCTCTCTCACCGTGGTGGAAAGCCCGCCCACTTTGGAGATTTGACCACACTCCTTTAGAAGCGTTTGACCCCTTTCCCACGATCCAAAACAATTTGACAGTCTTTAATTTTCATTTTTAGTCTTGCCCACTGCGTTGCAAACCCCGTCTCCTCTGGAGATTTGATCACATTCTTTCTATAGCCTACAACCACTTTTTTCTCGTTTTGTAAAACTTTTCGAACTAAGTGACGAACTTTTTACTTTAGCTAGAACACCCCATTGCAAACCCCGCACGCTTTTGAGATTCGACCACATTTCTCTACGGCCTCTAACCATTTTTCTTCTTGAGTTTAAGAACATTTTGAAGAGTCATGAACTTATGATCTCAACGCCACTTACCATTCCCGTTCTGTGGACCCGACTACACTCGGTCGGTGGCTTCCGACCTTGTTTTCTCTCGTGTTCTAATACCTTTTTTAACAAAGTTATGAATTTTTGATCCCGGCCCGCTCACCCTGAGGCAAGACCCGACCATTTCTGGATTCGACCAGACTTCTTCAAGAACCTCTAAATGCTTTCATCCCGCATTCTGAAACAATTTTGAATGAACTTACAAGTTTTGATTTCAGCCGAGCCCATCGCGGTGCAAACCCAGCCCACTTCGAGGATTTGACCAAATTTCTTCAAGAACTTCTGACTACTTCTTACCCGCGTTTGAGAACATTTTTCTTTTATGAATTTTGACTTTAGTCAAGTTTACTTTGAGGGTTCGACTGCACTTCTTCAACGGCCTCTGACCTCTTTTTCCCATGTTTCAAAACCATTTTGAACAGAGCTATGAATTTTGTTATTAGCTCCGCCCTTCTAAGCAAACTTCGCCCACTTCGAAGATCATACCAAAATTCTTGAATAACCTCTGACCACTTTTTCCCGCGTTGTAGAACGTTTTTAAGCAGGATTATAATTTTTTTCAAACCACTTTTGAAGGGAAGGTTCGGATGGGTCTCCCATCGTGGCGCCACGTCTGTTTTTTTCATGTCTTGTGACTCTAACAGTTCCTGTTCCTTTTTTGTGAGAATTTGACCTTTCTCGAAATCGGATACCAACTTTTCTCCACCCATTACCTGGAATTGCTCCCTTTGAAGCAGAGTGGCCATAGTCACGATGGTGAAGACTCAGCATTGGCCCTGGCAAAACAGTATTGAGACTCCAGGATCAAGCTTGCTAAAACAGCACTATAACAGCCTCTGTATCCCGCATACTGGGCCCAACCGTCTCCGGCGTCGAATGGCAACAGGAGACAGGCGATGAAGTTTCCAGTTGCGTACGACACCCTGCATCTCGGACCATGGCAGCACTCCCTCCACATGACACGGAGACTAGTTCCTACTTTATACCTACAACGCGAGAACGTTCTTCCAATTCCGCTCTCCATGAGCTCCTCGATGCAGCTAGTCACATTGAGTATCATGTGACTTGCGCTGCAACAAACCAAGAGCAGGAGGACCGACGTACGACGAATGAATGATGGGACCCTCATCATTCGTGTTGGAAAACTTCCATCGCGAAACGTAGACGGCGTAGGTTTCGTCGCGCACCCATCTGTCGTCCATCTCGTTGATTCATACGAGGTCCTGCCTCCTCGCTTTGCCATCCTACGCCTACGACATACGCACCTGGAGACCATCTCTGTCGTCAACTGTTCAATTCCGTACTCTTCATCCACAACGAAAAATCCTTCTACAAATTCGTTGTTAGATATTTCAACGCTAGGCTTGGCAAAGCACAAGAGAAGGAGTTCACGACTGGAAGGTTCGGAATGGGGGACAGGAACGAGAACGGAAACCGTCTAGCTGGACGGAATCCTGTCGACTTTTTTGTGGAAACTTTTTCTTCCAGAAGAAGGAACACCACTGATGGACATGGGCACAATCCGTGCTGAACTGGACCACATATTAACAAACAGAAAGTGGTGCTTACTAGATGTTGATATGGGACCATCTTTCTGCAGTGGTTCTGATCATCGACTCCGTGCTGAGTTCAGATTCAATCTGGAATCTGGAAAATATCTCTCAACATCGCGCAAAGAGCTCAAAGCATGTTACATACGACGTAGATGTTCTGAATGACGCCTTGCCCCGATATGACTGGCAGGTCTTGGATGACCCGAGCGAGACTACAATGCATTGATTTGGGGTCTCCTTTCACATGCGACAAGGGATCTTCTCAAAACAAGAAGAAACTTGAGGCTCGACCAGAAAGCCACATACCTTGAAAGGCTGCAAGCGAATATCAGCTGCAGACAGGCAGTGCTGCGAGACCTTCAGCTATACAGGGAGAGGAATCCCTATATAGCTGAAGGTCTCACCCTATACCGAATCACGACAGACGTGCGAAAATCAAAAATCCCCATTGGCGGGACAGCACCTCAGGTCCTTCCATCGGAGGTGAGAGTTGCGATTACGAGCATGAAAAGGGGTACTATTCCAGGCCCCAACAAGATCTCAGCCAACCTTTGTGCAGGTGGCTACGAACTTCAAGCACTTCCCGCAACACACATGACTTCCTACCTCCAGGAGAAGATCCCCATCCAGTGGAAGAACTCGCAGATGGTCGTACTTTACAATAAAGGAGACCGGGATGATCTCTGCAATAATAAACAGGCCAATAAGCTTGGTTAGTGTGCTTTACAAGCTCCTCATAAGGATCACTCGAACCCGCATATCACGAACGTTAAATGAAACTCAACCCGTAGAGCACGCTAGATTCCGGAAGGGATTCAGCTGCTTAGACCACATTCAAGCAGTCGCAATGATGATCGATGTGTGCAGAGAATTCTGAGTGTCTCTTGTCTTTACCTTTCTTGACTATGAAAAGCTTTTGACAGAGTCGAAACCAATGCACTGGTTGGCACTGGTCGATCAATAAGTGAACCCTCCCTGCATACGAAGACTAGCTGACTGCAGTAGTCAGCTGCAGCGCGACGGTAAAGCCGGTGAAATACTGTCGCCTTATCTTTTACCCTTCCCTATAGGAATGGGGTTCCTACAGGGAAGGGTAAAAGACAAGGCGACAGTATTTCTACGGAGCTGTTCACGGTCGCGCTGAAGTGGGTTATGAAGTCGCTAGCTGGGACGAAAAGGTGGATATACGGTTCCTCTCAAATCTCTGCCTTGCGAACGACATTGTTTTCTTTTCGAACAGCATTGCGGAAGCTGAGACTACTAGAGACACTGTTTGCTGATCTCAATAAAGCAGGAAAAAAGGTAGGGCTGCGGATCAACCGAACAAAGACACAGTTCATGAAGAATGCTTGGGCTGACGAAGGTCAAATTAAGATCGTACACCTATCAAGAAGACCTCGTCCTACGTTTATCTCGGGCGTTCCGTAAATATGGACAACGACAGGAGTGAAGAATGGTGAGACGGCAGAACGAGGCGTGGACAGCCTTTGGACCTGTCAAAGGACTCACCAACCATCTGGCTGACACGAAACTTCGCGCTAATCTGTTCGATGCCACAAATCTTCCTGCGTTCTGTCAAGTGCAGGAGATCTGGGTGACCAGTGCATCCGCGCCATGGCTTTGAGCACAAGCCACAGAGCGCTCGAGCAATGTCTTTTGAGGTTAAACCGGCTCACTCAATACCGAGCCGGACTCCGAAGCACCAATATGCGCAGTATGTCTCGGCTCCGCGATCCGATGGGATACATGAAGAACGCAAAATTTCGGTAGACCGTTCATATAATGAGAAGATAGTCGAGTGGGCTCCCGTAGGATTTTCACGATCTGAGGGTAGGCGAGCTGCGAGATGGGGCCTGTACTCGTCTGTCACGTGAAACAGCTGCGAAAGCAGCTGAACGACTCCCCATATTGCCATCTTCATCGAATTTTGGGTCTACCGTTGATTGCGACGGCGAATGACAGAAGCGAATGGTTTGCTGTTGGTGCTCGCACATGAGTGAAGACAAGCAGTATTAGTAAGTAAGTATAACATTGCATGGGAAAACGTTACCCCAAAGAAGCAACTGTGTAAGATGAAAATGGAATGCGACGAGAAATTATGAGATGGCTATATATTTTGAAACATAGGCAAAATGACTTTCCCTGAAAAAATTGGGAGAATTGTCCATATTTTCGGAATGGAATTTGCTGTTGGTCTGCAAGTTACGCCTTGAACAGGGCCCACTTTGCATTTCAGCCTTTTCCTGAAGGGCACTGGGACGCGAGCTTTGGTGAAATTCATAGGTGGATGTATCATTATTTGAAGGCACGATTCACGATTAAAGTGGTCCTTACGATTTTTTCCTAGGACTACCTGTAGCCCTCAGGGGTAACACAAAGAATGCTGTCGGGACGAAAAAATCAATAGATAGGGCGTATGTGAACCCCAATACCGGATTCGTCGACGTCCACGTTGATATGACAGACGAGTATCGAGGCCACACAGGTTGCGCTATTCGCACCATGCATCATCAGTTGATCGCCAAGTGATGAAGGGATGTTTTACTCTTACTCTGTTATCTCTGTTATTCGTTTTGCTGCTGCGTTCATTCTTCTAGTTCTGTACCTTACGAGGAGAAAAAAGCTGAGTTATTCCTGCTGTTAATCGTAATTGTTAACTTATGCTAGTGGTTTTAAATGCATCCAATTAACATTTTTGCCTACTGTAGTCAGCTGTACACAATGACACACATTGTACTCCAAACTACTTTCTAACTCTTTTCTATTTTTTGCTCTCATTCCCGTCTAACCCCGTCATTAAAGACTTTTTGAAGTTTTCTGGAAACATAGATTCTCGTCCTTTCCTCGCCTCCATCTTCACTTCTCTTTCATTTTCCGTCATAATCTGGATAACCAAAAAATACAGTGCCAACTGTGCCTTTAGCACAGTGTATCCTCTACATAAATAAAGCGCTTACTTTGTGTGTCCGTTTGTATGCCCGTTTGTGTGTCCTCCCAAAAGTCACGTAGGCACGATCAAGAGCGTGGAGATCACGTGAGCGCGGTGGGGAAGTAGATCGCACACTAACCAATTTTTTTGAAGAGAGAATGTAGGGTAGGAAACGTTTTACATGGGCATCTGTTGGTATAAGGCATCATCGAACACTCTGCTGACTGTTTCCACTACATCTCTGATGCGCAATTAACCCATTGACGACCATGCACTCCATATGCGGACTGCACTTTTTCGGCCACATGGGACCGTGCAGTCCACTTGTGGACTGCAGTTGTATTTTTTGTTTTATTCATCTATATTTCCATTTTTTTTTTACAATTTTTCTTCTCAAAACATTACATCAGGCCTAAATGAAACTACATACAGCGTGGTCCTAGAAAATCTTCTAGTTTTGCAATTGCAAAAGTGTTTTTCCGAAGGGGCGCATTGCATTGGTGAATTCTTCGTTCATTGAACAACCTCGAAAAATGAGATATTGCGTCAGAAATACGGTCGTCATTAGCATTTTCGCTGTTATCGACCAAATGCAAAGCTCGTAAAAGTTCCTCGAAACGATTTCTGCTAATGATTGAACTC